TCTGTCCTGGAACTAGCTCTTGTAGAGCAGGCTGGCCTTGAATTCCACCTGCCTCTGCCTCCTGAGTGCTGGGATTAAAGGTGTCTGCCACCACCACCTACCACTGCCCGGGGACCACAGGCATTAACCTTTTTTTTTAAAAAAGATTTATTTTATTTATTGTGTATACAATGTTCTGCCTCCATGTATGCCCGCACGCCAGAAGAGGGCACCAGATCTCATTACAGATGGTTGTGAGCCACCATGTGGTTGCTGGGAATTGAACTCAGGACCTTTGGAAGAGCAGCCAGTGCTCTTAACCACTGAACCATCTCTCCATTCCCCCGGCTTTAACCTTTGATTGTTCCCACCTAAGCACACAGACAATTGAAGTGGAAACTGAACTTTGGACTAAAATTATCCTTAACGCATGCCGTGCCTTTTGGTAATTTATCTTCCCACCTCACTCAGACAAGTCTATTTCAATTTAAAATTTTGAGAGAAAGCCGACCAAGGTGCTCTGTGTTGGCTCGACAAGCCGCGGACCAGCTGTGACTTGGGAGAGAGATGCTGTGCTCTTGAGTGTAGCGGGAGGGGCGGGCGAGTGTGGCGGGTCCGGGCTGGCCTGGTGCTGGCATCATATGTCTCTTATGGCTCCTTCTGCTCCCCACAGGAGCTGGAGATGCAGGCACGGGTCCACGGCCTCCCCACGACATCGCCATCCGGCGTGAACATGGCTGAGCTGGCCCAACAGGTGGTGAAACAGAAACTACCCAGTGAAGACAGCCCAGGGGAGGCTCTCATGCTGGGGCCTGAGGTCTCTGACCCTGAGCCGATGCCTGCTCTCCCTCCACAGGCCCCACTGCCCCCAGCCGCCCAGCCACAGTCCCCTTTTCATCACCTGGACTTCAGTCACAGTTTGAGCTTTGGGGGTGGGGGTGATGAGGGGCCCACAGGCTACCATGATCCCCTGGGGACAGAGCATGGCTCCCCGTTCCCCAACCTGTCCAAGAAGGATCTGGACTTAATGCTCCTAGATGACTCCCTGCTACCCCTGGCCTCCGACCCCCTCTTTTCTACCATGTCCCCTGAGGCCTCCAAGGCCAGCAGCCGCCGGAGCAGCTTCAGTATGGAGGAGGGCGATGTTCTGTGACCCTGGCTGCCCCTGTGCCAAGGAGCAGGGGCTGCCTGGGGGCTGGGAGGATCGGGCAGAGCCCTCCTATCCCTCAGGCTGCAGTTGGTGTGAAGTAGCCGCCTACCCTGCCTCTCCTTCCCTTTGGTCGGCCCCTGTTTGGACTTAGTGCCTGCCTGGCTGCAGAAGGGCTAAGCCCTGCCGCTCGGCTTAGAGCCCCCTCTTCTGGGGCAGTACTATGAATTGTGATGAGGAAGAACAAGGGTGAGGTGAAAGAATATGAGGAATAAGAAGAAACCCTGGTAGGGGAGCCCCTCTCTCGGAGCCCGGGCCCCTCCATGAAGGACATTTTGGAGAAGGTCTAAGAAGTACCTCTGAGGTAGCAGCTGGCCTGGGGGTGCCTAGGCCTGCCTTCCTGGGACTAGATGGCACCCAGCCTGTCCCCCCAGCCTGATACTTCCCCCACAGGTGGGGCACCCACCCCCCTTTGGTGCTAACAGCTCTCCCCTGGCGGTATGAGGGTGGGGTGGCCAGAAGAGGAGTCTGGGTTCAGGGTGGAGAGTACCCCCGCCCCCAGACCCCCCACTTCGTGCCTTTAGTAAACACTGTGCTTTGTATTATTTGTCCTGGCTTTGCGGTGCATGCGGCCTCAGCTCACAACAAGCGGGAGCCAGCCCAACGGGCCCCATCCCGGATCCAGAATTCAAGTGCGCCTTGAGTAGCACTGACTCCAAGGGAGAGAAACAACTTTTGCAGCGTGAGGCTGGGGGAATGTGTCTCACTGAAGCCACGAGGTGGCGCTGCAGCCATGCTGGTCCCTCAGCTCCAGCAGTGGTCCAAACAGCTATGCTGTTGGGGATGGGTGGGTCTGCTCCCAGCCGCTTATCTAGGTGTGTGGCTCTGGCTGGCCCGTCTTCTAGTGGGACCCTCAGCATTCTTCCCCTGTCTGGGTAGCTACAAACCAGCTGGAGATGACTGCCAGGCTGTGTCTTTATGGCTGTGGGGAAATGGACCCGCTTGAACTTGTTTTGGAATAGATGGGAGCAGAGGACCCTGGCTGGGAGTCTGCTCCAGCGCTGTGCAGTGGTGGAGTTCTTGGACCCCTTTGCTCCAGATTCTGGGGTGTTAGACCTTTTGCCTGGATGGGGAAGTGAACCTGATGGCCAAGGAGGGCCTTTGTAGGTTTTGCTTGGTTCCTCGATTTTCAAGGCTCTTCTGCCGGGGACCAAAATGGATTTCTCTTCAGAGGGTCCCCAAAGGCCAAAGAAGCCTAATTAAAAAAAAAAAAAAAAATTAAACTCCAGTATGAAAATGACTAAGAGGGTAATTTCCTCTTCGAAGAACAAGAGATCAAATCAACATTCGAGCAATTAACGTGCGGAGAAAGGGCGCGAAACGGTGTGAGGTGGCACTGGGCTAGCTGAGCTCAAAGATTAATCTCAAGGTCAGTTGGAGCCTTGGATGACCTTGTAGAGCCTGAGTTCGCCTGCCTTAACTCCTTCCAGTTCAGGGTCCCTCTCCATTGCCTGGGATCTATCCTCCCTCTGAGACCCCTGGCATGAACCCTGAACTCTGGCTAAGGTCAACTGGAGCCTGGGATGTGGGTGGGGTCCACAGACTCTGGGGCCAGCACTTCTGGTGGTTGGTGGATCTGGAGTGACGTGGGAAGCTGACTTCTACGTCCTCATATAACCCCTCAAAACCCTAAGCTACCCCTGTCAACGAGGCCCGCAGCTTCCTGGTCTCAGGGCTCCTGCTGCGTGGGCCGTGGGTCAGGATGGCTCTTCCAACAGGACCAGGGTGAGAGTGGGATTCTGTCCACACGGGGGCGCACGGGCTCAGACAGCAATCTGGGGAGTCGGTCTCAGGGCCCAGCGAGGAGCAGTTCACACTGCTTGGCTGGGTGGCTTCCCTCCCGCCTGGGGCTGCCGATGTCCAGCGCAGACTCTGTCTCCAGCACGTCACGTCGCCAGAAAATGTGTATCTGAGACTGGCTGGCGAGACCCTCACCTGTGACTGGAACGGAGTCGGGCTGGGGGTTATGACTGATCCCAGTCAAATAGGGGACTCTGTTCTTCATACCTCGATGGAGGGTAACCCTTGGGACATCTGCAAGGGAAAGTCTCGTTAAGGCTGGGTACAAAGCGCTGTGAAGAAAGATGGCCGCGCTGACCCTTCCAACGAGGTAGCCCCCCTTTCAAGCCTTGGGGGCAAAGTATGGTGGGATGAGGTCCCAGCAGCCATAGCTTCCTTGGGTCCCATGTGAGAGGACCCAAAGGAGGAGCTGGCGGAGCAGAGATGGGGCACATGCATAGCGTCCTGTCCCCTCAGCTCCAGGTCCTAGCCTGTCTGTCCGTCCATACAAGCTCCTCCCTCTTCCCAGGTTGCCAGTTTTGGATTGCCTGACATCTACAGGGACAACTGGGGCCTCAGAAGGCCCTGCTTGGCATTCCTATCTCCACCATTCTTTTAAGTCTGATTCTTCATTTGTTGTTTGTGACCTTTGACAAGCTGAGGGTGTGAGACCCTCTATGCAGCACACAGACTCATTCCTGACTTCAGGAACTCCTGCCCCGCCCACCTCAAACCCTAGCCCCTCCCCTGACCTCTGAGCGCCCTGGCTGGCCATTGGAGCAACTGGAAAGAGCCCCTTTAATGCCCTTCCTGCTCCACTTCCCAGGGGCCTCCAGACCCATTGTCCTGTGTCCACCCCCTCCTGGTGTCTTCCAGACTCATCTCTTCCTTGCTCTCTCTTTTCTGAGGGGGGCAGTGGAATTTATACAATATTTAAGCAGCCAGAGCCTGGTCCTGGAAGATATTATTAATGTAAAAGGGATGGGCCGCAAATGCTTCTGGACCTGGTTACAATTAGACGGCGATTTTTCTAAAGGTCAATGAATTCAGATAATATCCACAGGGGGGAGAGAAATTTAATACCTTTTTAGTGAATTAATTAATTATAATATTATATCGGCTTGGGGTTCTTTTCCAGAGTGATTAAGGCAGCGATCTGTCTTCTGTGAGCTGGCTGACATGAGGACCCTGTCACGGGCTTGGAGAATGGGGCCCTTCACTCTCCGCACAGGCAGGTGGGGGTTGGGGAGGAGGCAGGAAGCGCCACAGAGCTGTAGCAGGTGGGTGACTGCGGAGCCCAGTTCTTCCACCTGCACTCCCAAGCCTGCTTCCAGTTCCACCGTTATACTTGGGGAAACTGAGGCTCGTGGACTGCCAGATCTTGCATGAGCATGATGACGGATGACTGCCAGGCAGAACTGACTGGAAACATCCTTCTCCGTCCATCCCCTAAGTCAGGCAGTCTGGACAACCAGCCCTCCATCGGGAAATCTGTCAGGAAACTATTTCCAGGGTGTGGAGTGTGTCTGTGAGCCTGCGGGGCTGCTGAAGAGGAGCTGAGATTCCTGTCCCGGGGAGACCTGAGCACAGACACGTTTGTTCCCATCTTCAGTTACGCAGTCATTCAACAAACCTTCCTGGAACACTGCTTTGTCCCACGGGAGACAGGCTGAAATCGCCATTCTGGAGTCACAGCCGTTCTTGGAGCAATGAGAGTGGGAGCCCTTTGCAGCTAGGGGGCATACCCGGGCAACTGCTGAGCCCTCACTGAGAGCTGACCCTAAGTAGATATCCTTAGAGGGTGAGCGGCAGGCATGTGAGCTGGGGACACGGTGGGGACACAGACATATAAACTGGAAGTGATGAAGGGGGCAGGCTGGCAGGAGTGCTCCCCCTGTAGGAGGAGGAAGGGAGCACTCTAGATATGGGACACCGTTTGTGCAGTAAGGCCTGAAGCTGCAGGGTCTTACACCGAATGAGTGAGGGTCCCTGCAGATGGACTGGCAGTCTGAGACCAGGGCATGGCTGCCTCTGCCCACTCCTGTCCCGGATGTGTTGACGGACACTGTTCCGCAAGGCCACAGCATCTGGGTGGAAGGCTTCATGGTGAACTCTGACACAGCTTGCTGCACTAGGAGCCTGTACCTCAGTTTCCCCATCTGTGATGGAGATCTATAACTTCTCGGGCTCCTGTAAGGACTTAAAGGGGATTGAGGAGGAGCTAAACACTGCTTTTAACTCCTGACATCCTGGGGGTATATGGTCACTGCCCCCACCCCCACTTCATTTCAAGGGGGCGCCAGTGGAAGCTCAGGTTAGGGGTGTTCTTTGTTGGGGGATAGACTTTTTCCTTGGCTCTGCTCTTTCTTCTGCCTGCCCCTGTCGCTCTCCCTCAATGCCTCCTTGGCCTGGATCCCCCCCCAACCCCTCCCCCACTGGCTCACTCCGTGTGCGGCAGGCCAGGGAGGGCCTTCCCATTGTACTATCTTTGGGCCCTAAATTAAAATTGATGACATCTTGGAATGAGCAGTGAGGGTAATTTTGCTTCAGAGCCGGGATGCTAATGAGGCCCCTTAATGGCGCAAATGCTGAGCTGACGGGTCGTGTGTCACACGCAGCAGCTAGGGGGGTAATGGCCGCCGTAAGTGCTGGTAATTACACCCTGTCTTGCTGTATTTTGGCAGGCCTGGTGGGAGAGCAGAGGCTCAATCACCGCTGGCGGGGACACCCCCACCTACCATGGGACTGACAGCCAGGGATACCCCCTGGGCCCAGCCAGGCCCCCTCAACTCCAGCCCCACCTAGAATGAGGGTCTTGGGGCTACAGCCTCCAACATGCATGTAATGCAACCCAGAGTCTCACCACGGGGCACCATTCAGCCTTGTACATTCATCTCATGCCTGCGCATGCTCCCTGTGTGCCCTGCACATGGTTCCGTGTCCATGCACCTCTTGCCCAGTACGCTCCCTATGGACACAAGAAGTCCTGTATAGAGGCACATGGAACCCCATGGAGAATTGCCCTCTCAGACAGCGAGCATGCATTGAGCCCCTACTGCATTTTCACTAGGAGCCCTCGCCCTCGCAACTAACTGCCTCTCCCCACGTCTCTCTCTCTCCTCTCCCTCTCTCTCTTTTACACAACCTATTTATTTATTGATTATTTTATTTTTAAATATTTATTTATTATGTATACAATATTCTGTCTGTGTCTATGCCTGCAGGCCACAAGAGGGCACCAGACCCCATTACAGATGGTTGTGAGCCACCATGTGGTTGCTGGGAATTGAACTTAGGACCTTTGGAAGAGCAGGCGCAGCTCTTAACCTCTGAGCCATCTCTCCAGCCCCTAATTTATTTTCTTCCCGTGTTTTGCCTGCATGTGTATCTGCTCTATGTGTATCTTGTGTGCGATAAGGCCAGAAGGGGGCATCGGATCCCCTGGGATGGGAGTTACAGATGGTTGTGACTGCCATGTGGGTGCTGGGAGCTGACCCCTGGTTTTGTGGAAGAGCAGCCAGTACCCTTAACCACTGATTCATCTCAGGTTCCTCAAGTGCTACATTAAAAATGTTAGTTTTGTGTATATGTGTATGTGTTTATGTGTCCATACGTGAGTGGGTTGTCTGCAGAGTCCAGGAGAGGGTGCTGAGCCCCTGGAGCTGGAGTGACAGATGCCTGAGAGTGACCAGATGTGGTGCTGGGAACTGAACTCAGGCCCTCTACAAGAATAGTCGCTACTCTTTTGTTATTGTTGTTGCTTTTG